TGCTGTGACTTAAGTCATTTATATTATTATTATCATATAGTGTTATTACAATATTATTTAGCATACAGTACATAAGTGTTATATGTTAAGATGGATGATGATTTACCTTCAAACTTTGATGTTATTATTTTGGGAACAGGTAAAACTACCATTTCTAACAATTAATAGTTTAAATAATGTTATTGCTGAGTATAGACTGTAGTGTAATTTGTAAATTTCAGGTCTCTGTTAGTGTTATGTTTACATCGATCATATGATCCAGTCTATCACAATGACTCCGTGTTACGGTGCATGAATTTGACTTGGGTGTAACATTGTGAGTTTAGACGCAGTTTATAAGTTGCAGTTTATGTCCGCTAAAGATAATTCATTATTTTTCAATTTTTCTTAATCATCAAGTTAATGTAATACTAATAGTAATACAAATAACAACACAAGATTTCTAAATATTTTCACTATTCAGTGCTGTACTTCACCTATGACAGTACACATTGTTTTAATTTAAATAGGCCTAACTAATTAATTGTATAGAAAGAGTTGCCCTTTTTTATCTATACGCACACAACACACACACACACACACACACACACATATATATATATATAGGTTGTGAAGCTGTAAACAACGTATGTAAATACACTAATATTAATTTAGCTTTAGTACTAGTAGCAGAGCACTACTTTGAAGGTTTTAATGTGCTTGAAAATAATTGGAATATAAAAGAATGCACATACATCAATTATATACAATGATACATGCATGTGTGCAGAATCACCAAATTCTTCAGGACACAGGACAATCTTTGAATTCTTTACTCTGATAATTTCTAGGGGTGAGAAATATACACACACACCTTGCTTTGTATTAAATGAAGCAAGCTTTATTTTAAATTAATGTTTATAATATCTGTTATATAAAACTGACACATATAAGTAAATAATACGACTTTTAAAAGAAATCATGGTTTATCACACCTGGTAAAGATGCTGGAGCTTTGTAGACAGTCTTATATTTAAAATAATTTTTTTACTTGAGAAAAGTAGCATTATGTATAATGTCATTGTACTATAAAGGTGTTGTGTTTATTTTACTTTTTTTTATTATGCAAAATTATTATGTAACAAATTTCCACCCATCTTTGAAAACAAGGGGTGGATATAGGAAGGAGATAAATCTTAAGAGATGTTTTACCAAGGAAGAATGGTTATTAACAATTGTGATGTTTTGGTGAAAATGGAGTTTCTCATCTGAATTTCTTGTAGGTAACACTAGTTTGTGAAAATAAAATTTGACTTTTAGAGTAATCTTCATATAGCAGCAAAGTTTTTCTTGCACATCTTCTTGATCTGTCTACAGCCCTGTATTATTGAATACATTTTTAAGTGTTATTAAATGGAATTTTTTTTGGAAATGTGATTAAAATAGGTACGTATAACTTTAGCTCAAAATTTAGGTGTATATCTGCTTTTGAAACTTTAATTTACCAAATTTATAGCTTGAACTGTGGCTGAAATCTTAACATTGATAACAGTGACATTAGGGACTTTAAAATTATTCTAAATTTACAAAATATCAATGTCAATAGTGAATTTGTATAAATCACAAAAAAGTGTTTGAATTGTGGCTCTATGTTAGTTTTGTTGTGTTTAGTTATTGAGTAAATCCTATTTTGGCCCACATAAAACAGTAATTAAATGTGTGGCCAGTAATACTCAAAGTGCACTTAACTGGGCACACATTTTTTCTCATTTCATCACTTCCTTGATGTTTTTTGATGCAACATGTTGCAAGTTGAACCTTGAAGGGCTAGCTTTTGTAATTTATGCAGTTGATTAATCTTTTACATTTTGGCAATATGGCATATGTCATGTTGTTGTTTGCAACTGGAAATGGCATTGATACATAATTGCATGCAGCTCATTATGGCAGCCTCATTGACATTTGAAAGTCAGCATTCACAAATATTACAATTAGATTTTCAATAAAATTATATTGTACACTAATATAAAACTATTTTATCACCAGTTGAAAACAAACAAAAATATATTTGGATGAGCAGTGCTTAAACTTATACTGGGCATGTCTGATTTTGTATACTGGTGAGTATATCATGTTCTCCTCATTAACATGGACATGTAGTTTCAGAAACAGAAATGTTTGAATAGTTTTAGAGCAATTAATGAACACAGCTGGCTCAAGGATTATTTTTGTGAATGGTCATAATATAGTGGACAGAAAGCAAGACTATATTGACTACACATCCTTGGTGAATTGTGTGAACCTTAGAGAGGTATTGGATGAGATGTTTTGATTGTCATGGTGTTAGATGCTTCTGGCAACTAGTTTCCTTTTTGGTAGGTCAGTAAACAGTAGGATGGTGCTAAGGATTGGAGAGTTCCTAGTATTACTTCTATATTAAGAGGGAGTGATAATAGTTGCTCTGGAAATTATAAGCCAATTAATCTTTCTTATATAGTGATAAAATTTCTATATAGTCTGAATTGCTTCAAGAAAATGTAATGAAAACCCAGTGTACAAGATATACATATTATTTTAAACAGAGTATGCTCTTTGCATCTACACTGTCTCTTCTATACCTCTTCATTGTAGTCAAAGGTCTGTAACCATTTTCTAACCAAAGTGTTACAATACTCTGTCCTGTTTTCTGTTTATTTGTAATTATTATTATTATTATGTATTCGCTTGGCTGATAGTTTTATCTAAGGCATATGCTTAATCAACTATGTTGTTAACGAAAAAATGACTGGTAGTAACACTATGTTATAACTTTTGTTATAGTTGAAAGTCATTGTTTATTTTCTAATTGAATTGTTAGTGTTACTCTGTTCTGTTTTGTCTTTGTTTTTATTATATTTATTATGTGTATTTAATTGATCAATAATTGTGTTTTAAAAAGACTAGCTGTTAACCTGGTTGGAACATTGATTGTTAAATAAAACTTGTTTTGCTTAAGTCAGCTGCAGTTCTTCTAACTAGGGTGCTCTTGCAGTGCATGCTTATCATATGTAGCTGTATGAGTATTGTACATAGTGTTAAATATGTGTACATAAAGAATGTGCACTTTGTCACTCTTAAAATATAAAAACATAACTGTTCTATATATATATATATATATATGTGTTTTTTAACATATATGTAAATGTTTTATTTTATTTATATGAACCACCTAGTAGTTATGGTAACATCATCAGTAAATTACACAAGTTGGTATTATCAAAGGTCAAATATATCTTTCATTATAGCCTTACCCAACTCTCTTTGTCACTAGTAATAAAACTAATAGAAGTTTAAGATGTGTTTATAGACATATTGATTACAAGTCATAATTGGTAATTATTTCTATACAGGCCTCTCATTAGGCTTTACTAGGAACACTGTGTGCAATATTGTTCCCTCTTTTTAAGAAAAAGGATGTTGACTGATTGGAAAGGGCTCAGAGAAGGGCTCTACTTTGATGATACCATGGATGGAAGGGTTATCTTATGGGAATAGGTTAAGATCTCTTAAAGTTGGGTGCACACTGGTCAATGGAGTATAAAGATATCCACCCACCATTGAGAAGTGCAGAACCTTATGCACCTGCAAGAATCTTTATCTTATTTACAAACACTGAGTCTGCTAATTACAATTTTCCTGCATTATTATTTGTTTTTAGAAACTTTCAAACACTTACTGGAAAGTATATATACACATGAAACATGTATGAGCTTGCACGTTTTCTGCAATTAAATATGTATTGTCATTTAACCCTTTCCAGACTCTGGGGATCACTGACATCTCTTTTCTAGCCAGTCTCCTCCAAATCTTGAATGTGTATCCTCTTGTCTTATTGTCTTCAGAATAGAGCACAAAGAAATCAGTGGGCATTACTGTAAACTTCAATAACGTTATCTCTTACCCTTTTTTATCCAGATAAAACAAATGTTATCTTTCATGTACATACTGTGTGACTGGGACGTGTATGGGTGACACAGGTTATCTGGATGGTTTATAGCTTGCAGTGGTGACCATTCAACAAAGAGTTTCATAACAGGTGTTGCTGTCATGTCAAACTGCAATGGCAATCACTGTAAGTCAGCATGTAGTGTACATTTAAAGTCAATAAAAGTGAATTTCTCAGGGTCTGAGAGTTTAGTTTCTTGAAAGAGCATGATGTCATAAAATATGGAGAGCTTTTCAATGCAGTACTTGCTTCCTCTGAACCCTTTGACATTGCAGTAACTTATATAATGCGAGGCTGGCAAAATCTGGTTCACTGTCTGTGCATGTGTCATTCACCACCTCAGTGTTAGTCTTGGTTTCCTTGTTCTTCTCCTGTTGGTCAGTCAAGGTCATCACTGAGTTCAGAGTACCTGTTGCTCCCATGAGCACTATCTTTAAATGTATGATTGTTTGTACACAATACATTTACCACTGTCTGTGCAGAACTCTTGTCCTGACTTTAGTAGTTTAAGGTTGATGGCTATATTGTGAACAGCAGAATGTTTTAATCCACATCCCATATACGGTATCTGACACTGAAGCTTCCTAATGCTAAGTACATAAAAGCATTGTCAGACAGTTCAAGTAGAAAAATCCAATATTGAGCATGATGTGCCAGAACCAGCAAAAAATGCTAAGCACCAATGCAACTTCTGCAAAAGCATATTGGTGGAACAGTAAAAATGATAAAACCTAGAAAACACACAGTGAATCCCAGGCAGAGTTCGTGTGGATAAGGCATGACCATGCAGAGGAGGCAAGGATTGCATGTAATAAAACCTGTGCTTGCTAAAGGAGATCAACTTCTAAAGCACGAGGCTTTAAATAGAATGAAATATGCAGCAAGCCAAATCTAATTTTTGAGCTTATGCAAGCAAATGGATATCACATGAACAAAAAACATGGAGATAACAGTTATTCGTGATGACGACAGTACGTTACTATGTATTGGTGAAGATGAAGGTAAGGTTGACATGTGCAGGTACATTAACAAATCTACCCATGGTGACCTCGAGGACAAGCTCAAACGTCAGCAGTCCATATCAGAACTACAACTACATGTAGATATGGAAGCCATCTTTTAACTTGAATAAGAAGCACTGAGCCATGAATACATCTAAAGATAAGAGTTTCAGG